AGCAGACTCTTTGGGGGGAGGGGGTCTTTTGGAAATATTTGCATTTAGCTAAGTTAGAATGTGTATCACACAGCACATTTAATTGTGGCAAAGCAGTTGGCCTTATCAGACATGACTTTATCTATGACTCATTATTTAACAGAGAGCAATATCCTGAGAAATGGGACGTAAGACAGTGCAAGAGAGGGAAGGTGAAAGAAAGAGAATTCTGTGTGAGAATGTTATATGTACATAAGGAGAAAGGCCTGGAAGCCTCACTTCCATTTCTGCAGCTTTTAAATTTTTACCTGAGGCTGGTCCATTGAACAAGCCGAGAGCTCAAATATCAGATCCTGGATATAGCCTTCTAATGGAGATGCTCTATTCTAGCTGAACATTAGAATCATTTGGGGAGGTTTACTAAAATATCAATGCCTGGGATCCAGACCAATTAAAGTAGGATATTTGGAAGGTGGGGCCTGCACATTGATTTTAGTATGACCAGGGCTGAGACCCATTGTTGGAATGGTCACACACATTTTGACACCATCCTAGTTTGGGCAACAGCATGCCTGCAAAGTACTCCAAAAATGACATCAATCACAGATGCTTCTTAAACTCTGGGGAAGTGAGGTGGGAAAAGGAAATATACTTGTATTTTTGTATCATGTGATTCCAATATTATAACACTGTGTGTTTGGTTTATTTCAGGCCCGGCTGACCAAAGAACATCGTTGGGGAAGTGCATTACTTTCTCGGAACCACTCCTTAGAAGAAGAATTTGAAAGGGCAAAAGCAGCAGTGGAGGTAATTTTTTTTAAGTTAGTTATTTCTGTTTTATGCTTCTGAGAATGGCATTCAAAAAATCGAACTTCAGCAGGATACATATAAAATGGTCTTACTTTATAGACATAATCATGATTATGATTGTCAGAACGAGACTTGTTACCAGAAAAATCTTTGACTTCCCCCCAGGGATAACAAATAGATGTCACCTCGTATACCAATTCTCTGATAGATTAGCAAAAACTCTCTGGAGTCCTGGGTCAGAAAGAACTATGACCCCAGTCTGGCTTTCACAGAGGACCAATGCCATCTATTTGCTGTGCCTCTTTGAGGCCAAGGCTCATGCCTGGCATTTTTACCTCTTTAGCATTCAACACAATGTCTGAAACATAGAAGGTATAGCTGCCCCTGATGATATAATATCTCTAAACTGTGTGCGAAAAAGGCATGGCTAGGGTATTCTAACCAAAGGACAGCCCATCTTGACTTGAGCCACAATTTTTTATTATTAAGAGTGTCTAAAACATTGTTCATAATTCAATTGAAATATTTAATTTGAACACTAATTTCCATATTTAGCCTTTAAAGAGAAAGGAGAGTTGGGGGTGTGGGAGATGGGAAGGAAGAAAGCAGAAAGGAAGGAAGGGAAGCCAAAAAACAAACAAAAAGTGGCTTAAGGAGAGTTGGGGGTGTGGAGGATGGGAAGGAAGAAAGCAGAAAGGAAGGAAGGGAAGCCAAAAAACAAACAAAAAGTGGCTTTTGCTGTTTTTTATCCATTTCTTTCCTGGCTGAAATTGCAAAGATTGCATCACAGATCCTGTCTATGATATTCATCAAAGCTTTGCTAGATTGCCATTTGAGAGCAAAGCTTTTCACCAAACTCAAGTATGAACTTGTTAGGACTACCATGTCTGCTACTCATATGAAATCTTGAAAATTGAAAGCATTCTAGGAATATGATTATTTATGTGCCTTGCCTTACCCTGAGAATTTGGATGAAATGATTATACTATGGGTTGTTTTTCAGTGACTCTGTATTCAAAAAGCAATGAAATCATATTTGCAGTTGAAAGAATCCTTTCAGTATTATTCTGAGAAAGAATTCTGGCCATAATTTTATATCATCATTCAATAAGAGAACACTTTTATCTCACCACAATACAATCTGCCCAAAGTTCTCTTTTTAATTTTAACCTTTTTTACTTAAAAAAAATAGTAATGAATACTTAGTGCTCTTGAGCATGATCAACTGAAATATTTGGTTGAGACCAGCTGAGTTCAAACAAATTGTTCAAATGCTTGGAGCCTGTAGCTCAATTTATGTAAATGTAGGTTTTCCAGACTTAAGAGCTAATTTAAATTTGTCTTTTGAACTCCTACTGTGTGTAGCAATCTGAATTAGCACTAAAGAGAAGATTATTTATAACCATAGAATCTTCGGTCAGTAAAGACATTAGAATTTATCTGGTCCTGTTTATAATGAGATAGATAATGAATTCACACTCAAAAGTCTTAATTACAAAGTAACAGATCAGAGTAACAAAGTAACAGAAAAATATGTATCTATCTATCAGAATATATATATTCACAAAATCATTTAATCTTAATTTTTGTAGAGACTTTAGAAGTCATCTATCCCTACCAGGCCCATAAAACAAAAATTTTTTTCTTTTAAAACACTTGCTTAATTATTACTATTTCTACTTAACACTTCCAATTAGGGGCAACTCACTTTTGTTCAAGAAAACTCATTTCAGTTTTGGACAGTACTAATTATCAAAAAACTCTTCCTTATATTGTACTGAAATTGGCCTACCAGCAACTTCCAGTTTTGCTTCGTCTTGGTTTCGTCCTGTCTGGAGCAAGGCAGAATTAGTTTAATCCCTTCTCTGCAGGAAGCCCACCTCACCCCACCAAGCCTTGTCTTCTCCTGGCTTCTCCTCGTCTCTCCTGGGATCTGAGTTGTTATTTTGACTCGTCAGTAGTAGCTACATGAAAAGATACATGTCATTAACCAATATAGGCCTCAGTTTCCACATCCTTATGGTCCTTTCCAGCTACAAAATCCTAGGTGGCTGTAAGATACTTCAGGTAGTTATTTATTCAGCAAACATTACTGGCTGCCTTCCTGCACTGTCTGCTGAACTAAATACTAAAGATAAGGAAATGTACCAGCCTAAGTTGGACCAAAGGACCAACTTAGACAAATCACTTGCTCCCTCTACTTTAGTTTCATATCATCTGAATATGAGGGGCTGGATTTTTAATATACTAAAACCTTATCAGTTTATGGCTGCATGTATAAAGAATGGTAAGTACAGATTTCCCAGAAAATCAGAAAACTGTAAGCAAATTTNGAGAGTTGGGGGTGTGGGAGATGGGAAGGAAGAAAGCAGAAAGGAAGGAAGGGAAGCCAAAAAACAAACAAAAAGTGGCTTTTGCTGTTTTTTATCCATTTCTTTCCTGGCTGAAATTGCAAAGATTGCATCACAGATCCTGTCTATGATATTCATCAAAGCTTTGCTAGATTGCCATTTGAGAGCAAAGCTTTTCACCAAACTCAAGTATGAACTTGTTA